ATTGACAAACCGAACAGTGAGGGTTTGGACAAGGGCATAGCCAGCAAGGTCTAGATCACTAGTGTGTCCAATGAAAGATTGGGTGACCACAATGCTCCCGAACGAAGCCACTCTCGAGAGTATACCGGGCAACGCAACCCTCCATATCTTCTTGGATTCGTCACAAACTCTCACTTTCAAATCACCCGTCCCCTTCTCTTCCTCCGAACCAATCAACAACCTTTCTCTTGTCCCGTTGTCCATGCCTCCTCTCTATCCACACTCTATGCTACACAAATTCGAATGACCGAAAAGGGGGCAAATAAGTAAGCATGGGCTCCCAATTTGAGATCATTCATTGAGTAATTATATCATTGACAACCTCAACAAATCATCATGATCATCCACAACAAATTATGAGCCCTAAACACATTTTTTCTCCAAAGACAGTTGTCTTTAGGAGAGAATTTACTTATATAGTACTAGAACATAGTGAGTTTCCCAATATAGTACCATAAGTTTTAATATCCCAATGTAGTACCATTGTTCAATGTCCATTGGACATTGTTCAAGTAAATGTCCACCGCCACTAGACATTGTTCAAAATAAATATCCACCGCTACTGGACATTGCTCCCGTCACTAGACATTGTTCAAGTACTATTTATGGAATAAAAAATTCTAGGTACTACATTGGGAAAAACATATGTTTTAGTACTATTTAGTGCAAATTTTACATGTTTTTACTAATGAATACTATAACTCACAAGAAAAGGTAGTTGTTACTTAAATGTACAACAAAAAGACAAACTTGAGAGATACTTTGAAAAGAATTAAGCTTGCACACCCAAAAGGTGACTCAAATTTACCACACCATGTCACAAACGCATACACACGACATACAGTATCACTCTCTACGCGTGCATGTCTCGTGAATGGTGTGACAAACTTGGGGTCACCTACCCTAGATTTATACAACAACAACAACATCCTAGTTGAATCCCACAAAAGTACGTAGGGTTTGTGGAGGGTGTGTGTCAACTTACGAAAATGGAAATCAATGGAAAGTGAAGACTAAAATCCCAAAATTGTCGTATTCCCATTTGAAATCCAAAAGACATTTTCTAAGTGTTGCCTATATCTTCTTCTTTCCTGTTGCGGGTTGGGATATTTGACTCATGTTATATGAAAATTAGTGTAAAAATAAAAAATAAAATTAATATATTAAAAACTATTTCAAAAGCTATACAAACCCAAAATAGTTTGAGAATAGTTAACTAGAAATTCTTTATGGATAGGAGTGGAGGGTATAAGTTGGGAAAAAATATGAAAAGGGGTTGAATGAAGGGGCCACGTGCAATGCTGGAAAGCACGTGATGCAACATCTCCCCTTTCCCATTGCCTGATTTCCAGCCGACACAGCTCCCCAATAATAGAAACTAAATTGTTGTTTTTTTTGCTGAGTAACTTTGTGATTCTTGTTTTTATACTCACTTCCTCGGTCCCCATTTTGATTACTATTTTATTTTTCTCTCGCCTATTGATAACTTATGTTTATATGTTTCTTTTCATTAATTATTTGATAAAAAGAACTTTTGACGTAATGATTTCAAAATTCATGAGAGTTTAGCTCGTAATTCCCAATTTGTAATCAAAATTGAGACGGAGGTAGTAATAAATTTACAATCATTTGCTCTCAAATTTTAAAATATTAGATAAATATTCTCAACTTTTGAAAATTATTCCATATATCCTTTGAGAACTATTTATATAACATTTTAGAATTGAAAACTAAACATGAAAATTCAATGTAATTAAAGGCCATTTGTAGAATTTACTCTCATTTTTATTACGGGGTATTAATTTATTACTACCCCAATAATATACATCATTTTAAGTTTTGAAGTCTAAGTTTTGAAGTCTAAAGCAAGTAAATAAGTGAGAAAAACTTTGACTTCTAAAGAAATAAGTGAGAACTTCAACAAATAGTTAAAGAAAATGAGCACAATCTCCCTTTCAAAAAAAAGTACAATCTCCGTGTTAGATTTGTTCAGTTTGACTTTTTTAAATTAAAGTGAAAAACTTTGGATCTATATAAGGTATATTAGTATAATAATGATTTAATTAGATTTATTTTAGAAAATATTTTCGAATTATTATTTTATCTAACAATTAAACCATATATGTTTCATTTAATTGAAAATGGAGTACTGCAACAAGTCAAAACAGGAAAAATATTCATGGACTCATACAACACAAAAATGAAAAACCTTGACTTCCAATATTTCAAAAATGAATCTAATAATATTAAATCCACCTGTTCATGGTTTCTAAGGAAAAATACATAGAAAAATTTCTCTTTGTCACGGAGCATTTTGGAAAAATTAATCAATTTCGGTGAAGAAGAAAAGGCATCCATACATAAAAAAACTCAATTAAGCAACACCCAAAAAATCAAGAACTTTGGTGTCCGATGAAATATTTCCAGTATTTTCTCAGTTGCAAAAACAAGAAAGAGAGGGAAAAATTACAAAAAAATATATATATATAGAAAGAGAGATCTTGTTAGACTTTGAGTAATGTAAATAAAGGAAAGGGTATATACTTACATGGATGGGGAGGGGAGAGCTAATAAGAAGATATATATTTGCCTGAAAGGGATTAAAAGAGACAAGAATATAATGAGCTCTGGCCTGGGAAGACCACTCAAAATTAAATTGTTTCCACTCACACTCTGACTTTACAACTTTTATATATATATATAGAAGAAATGGGGCCAAACGAACCATTCTTATCTGCACATCTTATTAGTATTTAATTTGTGTGCCTTGAAGGAAGGGGTTAGGTGTGCGGAAGGGAATGACGTTCAATTCGCTGGTTGGTGGCATGTTTGGGTTTGATTTTTGAGGAATGCCAGGGTATACCATTTGGTGTACCTCATTTATCCCTCACCCTTTTTTCTACTATTCAATTTTATTTTTTTTATTTATTTAATTTTTTTCTATTTTTTTGCCTTTTTTTGTGATGATGGAAGGGGTGGAGGACAAATTGGGTACATCTTTGGTGTACCTCTAGCATCCCCAACAAAAAATCAAGAAAAATGCTAGGGGTACATCTTATGTACACCACTCATTCTTTTACCACTCATTTTTATATATTTATCTCCTTTTTATTTTACTTGTCAATATATGTGGTATTGGAGAGAGTGGTGTACCCTTAACATTTTTACTGAAAAAAATATTATGTGATAGACATGTTAAGAATTAGTAGAAATTAAAGTGACTTCCTGATAGAAATGAGAAAGACTTTTTGGGACAAATGAAAAAAGAAATAAGAAAAATTTTGTGGGACGGATGGAGTGATTTTTTTGTAAATAAAATTAATAAAGTTTGACTTTTGTCCAAAAAATTGATATTAGATGTTTAAACAATAATAATTTTATTTAGTTTAAAATTTTAAAACATTGTTTTATCTAATAAATATCGGCAAGGTTTCGTTGAGTCGTTGATAGGGGTGTACACCGGTCCGGAACTGGACCGGATCGGAACCGGAAAAACCGGAAACCCGGAATCCCCTAAAGCATAGGACCAGAAACCGGACCGATTAGATTCCGGTCCGAACCGGTCCGGACCAGTTTTTTACGGTACGGTCCAGGTAAAAACTGGAAAACCCGGAATTTAATTTTCTAATTCTTTTTGTCAATTTTTTAAACTTGAATTTTAAATTTGTAGCTTGATTTGATTTAAACCCTACATTTAATTTTTATATCTATTGGGCGTGTTTCAAGAAATTATATTAATATAAAATATTTTTATCAACAATATAAAATCATTTTTATACTTCTGTTAGTTTTGAGATTTTAAAAATATTATAAAGTTGTAGTTTAAAGTATTTTGGATTTAGCAAGTCTAATTTATATGTCAAAGTATTTAATACTTTAAATCGAAAGATTCTACTTCAATTTTTGGAAAATAATTTTAGTTCTTTATAAATATGGATATTCTTGGGTAAAGGTCAATGAAATGAATTAAAAAATACAAATTACATTTAAAAAATTATACTACATACTACCTCCGTCCCAATTTATAACGCCTGTTTCGGTTTACGATGTTTGACTGAAATTATTTTCAAAGCATTTTATATGACAAATGGTATAGAATTAAAAAAATAAAAATTACATATTAAAAAACTACATCAAAAGATCTACAAAACTAGTAGTGACAACAATATTTTATTTTATCAAATTGCTAACGAAAATAGAGAAAGAAAGTGAATGAAATTTGACCCTGTGAATAGTAAACAGGCATTATAATTTGGGACGGAGAGAGTATTAAAGTAAGAAGAACAAATGAAATATACAATAGTATTTATAATTATATGTATACTCCTTATTATAGGTATTAACTTTTTTAAAAGAAATAGGCAATCCGGTCTTATCGGTCCGACCCGGAAATGATCCGGTCTTGGACCGGAATTTTACCGGTCCAAAATCTTTAGACCGGAGACCGGTCCGGAATTTTACCAGTCTAGCCCGGAACCGGTTTTTCAGGTCCGGTCCGATCCGGTTTTTCGGTCCGACTCGGATTTTGTACACCCCTAGTCGTTGATACTTATTTTATAATCCATTGATTATTTATATATACATTTGATTGTTTTAAAAATATTCAAACATTAACTTTTCTGTATTGCTTATGAAAATGACTAAAAACTTAATAATAATATTATTATAAAAAATTACTATATTTTTAAACATAATTTTAAAAATATTATTACTATTATAATAATAATAGTCCTGCTCAACAAATGCTATAGACCAAATATAGTGTGGAGGTACAAGCCACAATGACAAAACATAAAGAGAAGCCACGCAGGTCCAACAAAATAACCAGCAGTGCAGTAGTGAAGAACATGAACAGTACCACGCCCCCAAGAAATCGGACAAATCAAACATGTTTTTTTAATAAAAATTACAACAACAACAAGAGTTGAAAGTCCTCAAAAAGAAACAACAAACCAAGAAACCACAAAAAGTTGGGCAAAACACAAGATGGACCTGATGCAATCTTGACTCAAAACCCTCACTGTGAACAGTGATGGCAAATCCAAATTCTCGCTCGAATCGAGAGATTATTCAAATGAAATCGAAATTCATCTTCGTACTTTGAAAGAGCAATCGAAGTCGCTCATAATCCCAAAAGATTGGCCTTCAATTGGGCTCGAACTAAGGTGGAACCAAGCTCCCATGGTCGCTAATGAAGAGGAGACGGAAGGTATGAAGAGGAGCTTGAAAGTGAAGATGGACTAAAGAAGATGAACCGCACCTGATAGAGCGTATATGGTACATAGTACACATTCCGAAGGAGTATAACAGTATTCATTCTGGCACAAGCATATTTGTTCATTTGAAAAATGTGGTACTCATTCAGAAATAATGTCGTACTCATTTTTACAAATTTGTTAGATATTCATTTACGAATAACATAGTAATCATTCTAAAACCACTAATACTCGTTCCCATGTAAACTAGTACTCAAACTTAAATAACCTACCGTTCATGCACCATTACCATTCATATGTAGTTTGAAATCTGGTAGGAAGCCCAAGACCATCCCTTGGAAGCAGAATCACATCGTTCATATCAGGCAACTTTCAGATCGCGGATCAGACCTTTAACCTTCATCGTCCTCCGCCGATCGGACTTCCAAACATCGTCGGACCTTCATCCGCAAATCACCGATCGAGAATCTAACCATCGCGCAGCTTCCTTCATGGCCGATTGATTCGCCCGTTCTTGCCCCAGTTCCTCCGTTCGCCCTAATAATTGCCGGCTGTACGGTTCTTCCTGTACAGCCGGATGTACGGTATAATTTGCCTATGAAAGGGGGCAAGAAGATAGAAGTCCGAAAAATCTCTCCTTTCTTGCTCGGATTTCTAATTCTATTTTTATTTATAGTCAAGCCTTCCAAATCTTTCACAATCCATATGGAATAAAAATCTTTTAAAATCTATCATTTTTTTGAAAATTATTACATTTTGAAAGATTTTATAAAATCTTAATTGAATACCTCCAGATTTTAAATAATTTTTTAACATCTCAATTGAGTACATATTAAAATCCAAAAAAATCCATCAAAATCCAGATTGAATACACCCCCTCTATTTTGAGTGTTTGCGGATGACATCGTCTCCAATTAAAGCTCGATGGGCCTTGTACTGGGTCGTTATTGTTGTTATCTATCGTGAGTCCCCCACTTCTTAGGCCGAGTGTACCGAGGCCGTATGGAAGTACAAAGTGTAAAAGTTTAAAAAACTTTCTTTTAGTCGAGTGTGAGCAGTCCCCCACTGCTTAGCCTGAGTTTGTGCGAAGGGATGAGGAGTGAGTTGATACGCGACAAATTTTGTTTTCAAACGCGTCTTTTTTGAATTTTGAATTCTCATCATTGCCTTGGGATCCATATCGTCCTTTCCCTCCAACTTCCCAACCGTCTCTCAATAAGTGTGGTGGTGCTTCGTTACAAGTGGCGCAGATTTCGCCACATCGCCCCACTCGCTTCGGTCGTGTTTTTGGATCGGGTCGGATCCTTTGATATACAAATCGAGTTTTCCCAATCTTTTTCATTCTTCTCCATTTCTTCGTAACCACTTTTGCGATCGCCTTCCTTCTGTCTCCGTTGCTTGAGTCGCTTTGCTCCGTCGTCTCCGACCAAAAGGTCAGTCACCTTTCTACCATTTTTCCATGTCATCCTTTTCCCCCGAGATCCTAATCTGGCAAACCTCATCACGATTCGGAGGCGGAGAGTTTTGCCAAGATGTACATGGTTAAACCCTCTCTCCGCGCCGACGGGTTTGGGCTCTGGTGGGTAGATTTCTGATCATGAGCGCGGTGCCCCTCAATACTAGGGTTACTGTAGCTTTGTCTTTTAGGATCAAGTAATCTAAACCTTCTCAACGTTCTAAGCCTAAACCAAAGCCGAATCACAGCTTAGATCTAGGCGTTTACCCATTACCACCTTAGAGGCTAGGGCACGCCCTGATTACTAACACGGGTTGTGATCTCCTAGACACTGATTTCGACGAGGCCCTGAAACCGGTGGGGGAGGGCTACGCCGTGCACCGTCCTCATTCTACGAATCATATATTTTCACTGACTAGTCCCACAGCCGAGGTCGGAGTCTAGGTTGCTTCGATAAGGTTTGGTCTGAGGTTTCCGCTGCACGACTTGATCGTGCAGTACCTGAATTTTTACTCCTTACTTCCTGGTCAGCTTATTCTTCATTCATATTATTACTTCTTCGCTTTAACAAGGTATCAAGTGCCAGATTTCCAGACCCACTGGTCCTTAGATCTGTTTAGGTATTTGTTCAAAATTACTTAGTTTGGGCACAACGAGTCGAAGTCCTAGGCCTCTGTCTCAGCCCGAAATGAGTTTGGTCTTGGAAGTCCAAGTTTGTTTTCATTTTTGGCTTCCCTAGAGACCAATAGCCTTTTCGAGCGAAGTTCCTAGAATGTTGTTCGTTCATCTCACATCCGTGGTCTCGGGCCACTCTTGAGCTCACCGAGTATGTTGAGAGATTGCTTGCAGGTTGTCGCCCAAAACCTCCTCATGTGTATGAGTTCTGTTCTGAGGTGAATATGAGTAGATCTGGGCTCCTTGTCACGCTTGATCTCTAGTACGAGCTTGCCGATGCGGCTGATTAGGGGAGACCGAGGCAAGGTCTTCAATATACCGATGCCAGCGGGTTGGGTAGAGGAGGATCCTATATGGAAGAAACTGACGATGATCAGCCGATTGGGGGTGACTAAGTGAAACCTTCTGATCCATAGAAGGAGAGTGATGCCGAGGGGTCTTCCTGCAAAGATGGAAATGATGGAGTTTTGTTGTCTTGTTACCTTATTCTTTTGTTTTGACAAATGTTTCCTAGTCTTGACCTTTGTTTTTCAAGTGCAATAGATATGCCTGGTGTTTTGAGGAAGAGAAAGCTTCGGGTCTCCTCCACGTCAGAGAGTGAAACCCAAACCGCCACTTCACAGGTTGAAGCTCAGGCCCTTAGCGTATCCGGTTCAGTTTCTGTTTTTGCCCAAGTCCTAGGTCCTGCCGGCATACCGAAAAAGAGAATAGTCATTGGGACATGGGATGAAGATGAAGAACCTAGTTCCGGCCTTCTAGAGATGGAGTTGGTGTCGGCCGAGCACGCGTCGAAAGCTAAAGGCAAGAAGTCCCATGCCAAAGAAACTATTGTCGTGGAGGGTGATGGGTGCACATAGGTCGAGGCTGGGGTCTTGACATCTATGCTAATGGAGGAGGACGAGGATATTGCATCCTTTCAAAAGACCCTGGCATCCTTACAAACGACCGTGGTGGATGTATGAATGGAACCCCTGCTTACCTTTACATTCGGTATGTTTTCCTTTGTATTGGTCGGCTGACCCCATGTTTTGCAGGCTACTGCCAAGTTAGATGCCATGAGCGCCCGTCGCTCTAACGCGGCCTTTGCCTTTTGGGCTTTGCCTCGAGGGCAAACTTCTTGACATCCTAGTCGAAAGACTTCAAGCATCCTTCTCAGCCTGCCAAAACATTGCATTCAGAAATAGGCTGCTCCAAGCACCTGACCCAACTACTTTGTCAAGTCTCTCTTCAACCCAATTTTCCGCCCCTCTAATGTGCTCCCAAGTGAAAGGATAACCAACCATTCCTAAATCCAATAAACCACGATCATGAAGGGCCACATTAAACCCCTCAATGAGACCCAAAGGCCGGGGACAACCACCTCGTTTCTCCGAGGCTGCTCTAATATCATTAAAATCCCTCATCACAACCCAAGGCAAAGAGCTCTTATCTTTCAATGAACGGAGTAAGCTCCACAAGGACTGGCGTTGATCCCTACAAGGGTTATCGTAGAAATTAGTGATCCGCCATTGCTGCAATTTTCCCAATAGACATTGCAATATCAATGTGATACCTCGAGAAAGTTATGAGACTAGCAGCATTCTTTGCATTCCATAATAAGGCCAGTCCGCCGCTCAACGCCATCAAACCCCAATCTACGTTTAAACTCCTAAACCTTACCTCGCGCTCCTTTTGTTTCCATTAGAAAAATATCATCTGGCTTCTTGGCCGACATAAGGTCTGCCAACTCTTTCAGTGTATGTCGGTTCCCTAACTCCCGATAGTTCCAACTAATGACACTCATTATGAACCATCAACTCACTATGGGGATTTTTTTTATTGTAGCCAAACATCAGGAAGTCCTTTTTCGGGTTAAAATGAGTTTTGGAAAATAATTTATTCTTCAAAAACCATTTTCTCTCCCTACCAAATGATAGCATGTATATGGTACAATTAGTTGTACCTAGAGACAGGTACAATCGTGTAGTACTCATTCTCGTATAAACATAAGCGTTAATTTTGAAATATGTAATACTTATTCTGAAATAAGGTAGTACTCATCTTGGAATAACATAGTACTCATTTTTACAAATCTGTTTTTTATAATTATAATATTAGTTTACCTTATAACGTAGTACTCCTCTTCTTCCTCTTCAATCCCTGGATGCCATGATCCTCGTCTCCCGCTTCTGTCTCTCCTTAGATCGATTGTCGGTCACTGCTTTGTCCTTTCCTTGTCGGTTGTATTGGAAATACGGTACAACCGGCTGTACGGTATAATTTGCACCCAAATGGACATACTTAAAAGTACTCCAATAAGTAAAAATCTATTTACATGTCTCAAATCTCAATCCAAGAGATTTTCAAGTGTGAAGTGGGAGAAGGTTTGGGGCCAGGCTAAGAATGATGGGGGAACCGATTGGCATACCATTGCTGTCACTGAGTCAATCAATGATTACTGCTCCGTATACTCCGTAGCATAAAAAAACGACTGTTAAATGCCGATGATCGAAAAAGGAACTCGAAATTCAAATCAGAGGGCGAATTCCAGAGAGAGGGATTGCGAGATCGAGTTCGTCTTCCAATTAGGTTTCCACTGAATTCCCCTTTCTTCACGCATGCTGTGCATACGTATATGTATTAGGATTTCTTGTATCCAGCTTCGTTTCAGGTTTTCCGTTTGTGGAGTAAATTCCTTCATTTCTGGGGACCTAAGCTGTAGAATCGAGTTACCGACGGCAAGGTGCCAAGATGAGCAGCAGAAGAGAAGAAGAGCGGAACGAGAAGATCATTAGGGGGCTAATGAAACTCCCTCCCAATCGCAGATGCATTAACTGCGATAGTTTGGTATTCTTCTATGTTTAGTCCATCCTTATTCATTCAATTATACAGTTGAATACACTCCTAAGCATCTGGCCATCATTTCATGTAATCACAGCTTTTGGAAGTTCTCTTTTAATTTTTACTTTTCACCATTAGGTTTCCGTTTCTCTGGCTTTACTATGATTCTTTTTTACTTTCCAAGTTTTTTTGAAATTCCATTTCTAGTGTGTGATTTTGCCTGTTTTCCACATAACATGTAAAGATCTCAAATTTAATGTTGAGAGTCAAGATATATAGAATCATTGGCTTGGTTATTTTGTGTTTCTGCATTTTTAAAGTTCTATTGTTAGTTTACTTCTAACTGCTAGTATTCAAATTTGGCACTTGTAGGGACCCCAGTATGTCTGCACAAACTTCTGGACTTTTGTTTGTATGACTTGCAGTGGAATACAGTAAGTGATTTCAGTTCCCATAAGTTATTTTGAAGGTTCTTGTATTACGGATCCTTTATTCCCTTGGGTGTCAGGTGCACTCTTTGGTGTAATAATTTAAACTTTTTTTTTACTGCAATTACTTCATTTCTCTTTAGAAAATAAAAATAGTTTATAGTGTATCCATAATGGTAAAAAACACGTCCGAGGCCTGCCTCACCCAAGATGCAAGAGCGGATGTGGCATTGCATTTTGTAGGCTGAAGCGGCTCATCTTTGTAAGGCACACACTTTGGCGTGCCTTTGAGGCGTGTACATGTAAACTAAATAGTCTGCAATGTTTTGAAGGACAAACATAAGCTGCTCTAGGGTTAGATTCCACACTCCCTCACAAGTAAGTACTGTAACAAAAGTTTCATTCATACTCATGATGCCCGTGGAGGGGAAGACAAAAACAACTTTCTCTTTGAGAGGCTTATCATTTTGAGATGAAGAAGATGCCGAAGAAGAATGTGTCTGATGAAGACAGATGTACATGATAATATGAATAAGAATACACAAGGATAGACCATTTGATCATCTGTTGATGATGGAGATGATGAGTTTGATGGTGGTTGACATTGATTTTAATGATTGATTACTTTGACTTGTTATGCTAATATGATTGTTCAATATAAAAATTGGGTGTGGGATTTTTATTAGAAGCTCGTAAACTTTTATCACCTTAGTTCATTAGGATTTATCATGAAAGTGAGCGACCAAGTGATGTTTTTTGGTTGCCCATCTGGTTCTCCAAAGCTTTTCCCCGACTACATCCATATCCCACCCGGGTAGCGCACCTAGCATTGGTGGGTGAATCTCTGAGCTAGGGTTTTTTGCATATGGTGAGACTCGAACACGAGACCTCCCTTAAGCGAATCCAAGCTGCTTTCCACTTGGACCAACTAAGTGATGTTTTTGTTTTCATGGTTAATGGTTTTTTTTGTTTGGAATATTAAATTATTATTATTATAAACAAATTAGCATTTGTCAATTGTGTGAGACTCATGTTTTAGAGACACACACCTCTCCCACACTTCGTACCTTAGGAGACCATATTCAACACCATGCAGAATGCACTTTGATCGGTTAACAACTATGAGTAAATGCATTTAAAATGCATCTTTTATTGTTGGGTAATTCATCATACCATGTACTCTTTTCTATTATTTGTTGGTGCATCTTATGTGCTCAATTCCAAACAAGTATGATATCGCTCGCGGCCCCGCGTTAGGAATTTGCAAGCACCAGCAAGCGAGTCTTAACAATAATGGAATATTGTCCATGCTTGTATCAAAGTCTCTTTTTCAATCTCTCTGATATGAAAGATTTTTCTAACCATAACAATCCTTTCAAACACAAACTCTACATGATTATGATTCCCTATATGACAAATTGGCAATAGTTCATCAACTTCATCAAATCCATTGGGTACTGTTGTCTTTACTGTGACACATGTTTCCGCTTGGCCTCTTGACTAACACACAATGCAACATTTGGGCCCGACCCAAACAAACTGGACTCTTTATGGAGAGCTCCACCACTCCTGTATTTCAACAATCTTAAAAAAGGATTTATGATATTAGTTTTTGTGATGCTAAGTTTGTAATCCTGCAAATTCATATATAAATGCACTCACCTCTTATAGTATTGATTGAAGAACATGTCGTAAATTTCTTTGATTATCAAACGTATACTAGTGAAGCCCAAAGAAAGATATTGTAGTGAGTTTGTCACTTTGTCATGTGACAATGAGACTTGAGAAATGGCAATTTTACACTGTCATTCTTCAAATTTCAAGCTTAATGCATTATTATTATTATTATTATTATTATTATTATTATATTTTGCACATTAGTTTTATTGAGTTTAGTTTTATTGAGTTGCACTATGACCATCCTTCAGCATTTCCACTTTTCTCCTTATCATCTATTTTAATTCATTTTTTGTTGCAGTCGTGAGTTTACACATCGTGTCAAATCTGTATCAATGGCTAAGTTTACTACACAAGAAGTCGAAGCTCTTCAAAAGGGTGGTAACCAGGTACAGATTTGTTAACCGGTTCTCTGTCAATTAGTTAACAAATATCTGATGTGTTCTTGATAATTTGTTACTTCTTCAGCGAGCAAGGGAGATCTATTTGAAAAACTGGGATCTCCAGAGGCAAAGGTTGCCTGTTAACAGGTATATAAATCTCAATGCCTTGACGTGTCAAAGAAATATTAGATTCTTACTATGAGTTTGGCTATCTTAACCTTTCAGTAATGCTGAAAAAATCCGGGAGTTTATAAAGACTGTTTATGTGGATAAAAGATATGCTGGTGGACAGTCCATGGATAGACCTCCACGTGATACACAAGTAACATTCTTGAACCTGTATCTTGATGCAAACCACCCAAGTGTTTTTTACTCTTTTCAGAGACTTCTATTCTAGCGTTGTCATGCTTTCTCTCAACTAAAGGGCTGATTATGCCTTGCCAGAACCTTAGAGGCCATGCAGATGAGACGAGACGGGCAAGTTCATACCATTCTTATTCTCAAAGTCCGCCATATGATTTCCAGTATGAAGAAAGGATTTATGGAAAGCCCGGTCCTACTCTTACAAGAAAGCCGGGTTCAGATCGAGGTCTATACGATGGAAAAGTTTCTAGTTTCTCAAGTCCTAGTCATTTGAGTGACCATATGAATGAGGACAGGTTTGCAAATGAAGGTTCTAACCCCAGAGCTTCAGATTTCTCTGTGTCTAGTGGAGGTGATC